GCATATAAATTGTTCGAGGGGAAACAACAATCGTTATCTGCTATCTACCAAGACTATTGGCCGCTGTGCGACTGTTGTCAGGGCTCGAGAATGAGCCCCAAGACAGAGCTGGACGAATAAGTTGCGTTAACGATCGGCGAACATTCGTCAACGAGTGACAACCGCTGATGGACCGCAAAAATCATGTGAATACTTTTGCACGGGACGCATATGTTCGATTATATATCCTGTACGCATAATGCATCCCTAGTTTTCATAGAGTCTACTGAATACTGAAGCAGAAAAGCCATTTAGCGACTGATAACAGAAATACCAAATGCGAATTCTCGACCATCCTCAGGAAAGGGTGAAAAGGCACACTACATTAATCAATATGATCAAGTTTCGGGAGGACACTTAAATTGTGAGGTTCCGAAAAAGACCGAACCGCAAGACGTAATCGAAAAAAATAAACGCGGGTAAGAGTAGGCAGATTAGTGGTCACAGTTGTTGTTCATCGCAAGACTATTCATCAAAGCTACTTCACGAGCTTCATATGTAATTATCAGTTATACCTTACTGACAGTCACGAGAATGAGGACAATATACTAAGAGAGTGGCTCAGACGCTGGAACTTACTATTCAGAGGGCGTTGTAAGTGTTTAAAAAATGCAAAATTTTAACGAAACCTCCAAAAACCATGACCCAACAGAAGCGAAAGCTACCAATTTTGTTGTCAATGAAATGAGCACTTTTCGTTTCTCTTGAGGACTTGGAGGGTAGACAGTAGTCAAAAACTAGTAAAAACAAACCGTGAAAAAGAATGCTGTCAAGGACCACCAAGTTATCATTTTCTTTCATCGGGGTAAATGCATTTTTTGGGGGGGGATTCGCATCATGCAGAAAAAGGACTGTCGTGAGTACCTTTAGAAGAAGCTTGAAAAGAGTATGCCGGTCACCAATACACCACTAATGCTTAGTCAAACAACGTCTTCGTGTAGGTCATTTGTATTCAGATTAAACAAGCTGGATTAAATCAAACAAAGCAAACTAAGCTTACCGTACAGAACAGGAGCTCTCACAGAGACCAGAGAGACTGTGACAGTCAGATCTGGCTAATCAGACGCCGTCAGTTTACCCTAACCAACATGTGTGTTTACATGACAGGTTATCAAGACCCTGCAAGGTACAGACTACAACTTTCTCCACACACGCAAAAGCCATGTGTGCATAGAAGGCAAATTTCTACTCGCACGCACGCAGTTACAATTGCCCGTTAGGGCAGAGAAGGATTTGACATTAAAAAGGATGATACTCACCAACTCCAGTTCCTCTTTTGTTTTGTCCTCGAGGCGACGTATATCCTCCATGGTCAGACCGTACCAGCGATCGGTCCAGCAAAACAATTCACGGTGGAAGATAGTGAAAATCCGGGTTTCTTGCTAAAATCACAAACATTTGAATTAGTGATAAAAGTTCTTAAAGCGGGGATTTAGCATCTCAGTTGCAGGAGTAGCCGTAACCACGCAGGCGGGAATGCGTGAGTGGCCCACAACTGGTGCAGTAATCATTTTCGGTGATTCCATGCCATCTCAACTAAAGTGTCTACAAATGATGAGTTGTAGCACTAAACAGGAAGATTAGTGGTTATAGGCAACCTTCTGTAGTCAGAGTACCCGAGTTCGCACTTTAGAAATTGACACTTGTTAGCTAGATTGTATTTGATCACCGCTGCCTGAGGACCACCCTTCGAGTGAAGTACAAGGACTTCGGTTTAAGATACAATTTGCACTTTGCGACAATATCGCGAGGATATCTCAGGTCATTCAAGAAAGACGACTGAGGTGGTTTGAACACGTTCTCCGCCGTCCGCCTCACGAGCTCAGCTATTCTGCTCCCAATCCAGCGCCGCTACCCACCCGAAAGCGTCGAAGAAGAGGACAACCCAAGACCTAGCCCGACACAGTTCCTCAGAACATGGAAGCGGTCCTTTTACCCCTGCCATTCGGTCCCCGTCACTGGAGAAGAGAATGAGTTTATCTTTCGAGGTTCACTACCACAAATTGTCACGCGTAAGAGGTACAGTTTGTGACACCGAGACCGGCTAGTTCAGGCATGCGCACAGCCGCATCAAGTACGAGAAGAAGTATTTATCAGCTTATCTTTGTAGGACACGACGATCAGCGACAGGTAACTTGCTCTTATATTGAGGCAAATGTTCGCATCCCAGGTACATGTGTAGATAGAGAAGTAGAAGGCGTTGCGATCACCGGAATCATATATATGTGCTTCATCTCTAGATATTTAGCCAGTTTTGTGTTACAGGCCAGGCATATCAAAAATAATGTCCTTCGATAATAGCAGGTTGGCCGCAAGCACCACAACGTAACCGAGCCAGTAGGCATTCAAATTACGTAGGCGAAAACCACAAGGACAGTGACGCAATCGACGTCAGCGTTACTACGTCCATGCGCATTTTTTGTCTTTGTTAGTCACTTCAACGCCCCCGCTAGCCAGAACCTAGTCGA